TCAGGCAGTTATGATGGAAATGGTAACTTTCCTAAATCAATTCTGTGCTTTAAGAAGAAACAATAGCTAGACTATAGAGTGTTATGATTTATTGTAAACAGTATTAAAGAGAGTACTTCACAAAGTCATTCACAGAGTCCACAGTTAGACATTTAAAGGACTTGAAAGCAGAAGAACTTATGTGACTGAGACAGTATCAATCAACTCAGTAGAAAACCCCTCCAGGACTGACTAACCCTGGACCTTAGCCCACTTTTATCAACTCTGTGAAATAGCTATTGCTAATACTCTCTGCTCTTCTCAGACCCACTCTGAGTCTTAGCAGACAGCCTTGCTGCCTACATCACTGAAATAATAAGCCTTCCAGTGGTAACTCCCTCAGTCTCCTCTTGCATTCTACAAACTGATCTGCAACGGTGTCCATGCTCTCATCTTCTGGCTCCACGGAAGGAATTATCTTCCTCTCACCATGTCCTATCCCGCCAGCTTTTCCCCAGATGCCTCTGGTTCCCTCTCTCTTTTTTGGTACCCATATGCCATCTATCATTGCTTCTCCTGTTTCTTCAACCCTCCATCTCGGCTAGTATTTAAACATGCTCAAGTCTCTTCTTAAGCACATCATAAATGTTCCATTTTTGAGAAGTCATTTCTGAATCCCCCAGACTGGTTTAGGTTACAGGTGCCCATTGTACCATGTATTTTCCTTAACAGCATTTATAATTATTTTAATTGAGAAATATTTCTACCAACACCAGCAATTCCAGTAGGGTGCTGGTGGTCTTGTATACTGCTTTATCTTCAGTGCTTAGCACAGTGCTTGGTGCACAGTAGCCACTTGAAATGAAACGATAGAATGAATGAATGAATGTATTTTCTCTCTCTCTCTCTATCTCACTGTCTGACACACACACACAAACACACACACACTTCTGACGCAAATGGCTTTCCTCACTACTAGTAATAAAATTTCCTCCTAAGCTTTCAAAAAAAGCACCAGTAAGATGATTTTTTTAATACTTGAGGAGTGGTACAGGAAGAAGTCATAGAGAGAGAGAGGAAAGGAGCTCATGACGGTGGTCCCGGACCCCTGTGCACTGCTGAGTATGCACAGCCATCCAGTATCCCCCGGGAGGACTTCACCTGCCTTCTCCAGGGGTCAGAGGAGGCAAGCACCTTGGATGCAGCCACTGCCTATTAACGGTACAGAGAAACATTATGCCTTTCATTAAAACTCTATATCCATCTTTTTGATCTCTTTATCACTTAATTGTTATAATATATGCTAACAATTCATTTGCAGAGTTCAAAACTGGCTTCAGCATAGAAATTCCAAAATGAACATTTGTGTGCATGCACACACACACGCACACACACTGTTAAAAGTAAAAACCAAGCAGAAATTAAAATACAAATACTAGTAGTCTTTTGGGATAGAGATGATTTTTATGACTTGATGTGAATACAGATTTGAGACTGAGTGTAGTTGCAGTAAAGATATGACCAGTAGAGAGCGCTACATGCCCTAAGATTTAAATATTCTTTTGACTACTAACTAGTGACAACACTTAATGAAAGAATAGTATTTCTCATTTTAAATTTTACTTAGAGTTCTCTCCAATTAGTAAATCGATGCATCACTTTTTTGAAAAACAAACATTTTGTGTTTTCATTGTGTTCCTGTCTCTTCGTTTGGTAGAAATAAAATCTTCAATAAAACAAATATCTGAAAGTGGATTTTTTAAGGCTCTTAACTTTTAACTTGCTTTAGACAAATACACTGTTAGCTTCTTAGTTGAAAGTTGTGGTCATCATCAGCAATTTACCAGATCATTGGACAGTGCATCATCATATCACATATGTTAAATAGAAAAAGAAATAGTAATCAATCTGTGGCAACTAATTTTTAAAATTTTGGCATCTTAAGTTTTAGAAATTCAATTAAATATGACATTTCAATAGATGAGAGGTATCAACTGGCATATGAGAGGATGCATAAATGAAGCAGGAATTAAACGGTCACAGGTGTTATAATCTGAAAGCATGTCATTGAAAATGGCAAATGGCCACTGTAACACTGGATTATACAGCACAGAGCCATAACTGAGTGGAATTCATGCTCATAAAGATGATATAAACAAGAAAGATTTTCATTCTTAACAGTGTTTGAGACAGCAGAAACCTAGAAACAACCTGAGAGTTCATCTGTAAGAGATGATTTCAACAGTGTTTTGAAAAAGGATTATGTATAAAATATATTGATATGAAGTGATTGTATCACTAGATAAAATAATCAAGGTGTATAGTATAATGCTGTGTGAGTTTTTAAAAAAATATGTGAACATGTGTGTATGTGTGTGTATACACATGTATATGTATATATACACTTTCTGAGCGACAACACCAAATAAAAAAATCCCTGGTTCACAGTGAAAAAGAATGTTACAATGAATGTATGTATGTTCATGTATAACTGAAAAATTGTACTCAACACTGGAAATTGACACAACATGGTAAACTGACTATAACTCAATTTAAAAAAAAAAGTTTAAAAAAAAATCCCTGGTTAACATTGGTTACTTCTGGTGAATGAGCTTTTGTAATACCCACTGAGAATCGTTTTCCCTGTGCATTGTCTTACACTTAAAATTTCAAAACAAGATTCCCCATTAAAAAGAAAATGTGTAAACTGGAGAAAAGATTTAATAGAATAGTTGACTTGCTTGTCCCAGATTAAAAATGGCACAGATTTGTTTCCTTTTCTCCGTTTATTTGAGACTACTTTGATTTGGCTTGTTTTGCCACTGCTGATCAATGCAGAATTCCAGGTGACAGGAACCTGAAGATACTTAGAATTACAACCTTTTTCATTTTCCTTGGGTTCTCTCCTATTTATTTATTTATTCATTTATTTATTATTGAAGTAGAGTTGATCTACAATGTTGTGTTGTCTTGGGTTTTTTTTTCCTAATTTATTCTAGTTAAACCTTTGAGGCCAAAATAAAGACATCATTGGGTTTATTATGCAAGTAAAATAAAGACATCATTGGGTTTATTATGCAAGTAAAGCAAGAATTAAAATTAGGAAATCTTTTAAAGAGGAAATTTCTTGGAGACACTATATTTCAGGAAGCAGATCTACCTTGCACAGCTGTAGACTCAGGGAACAGCACAATACGATTATAAGCATCAGAGAGATCTACTTACATTGGCAAGGAGATAGGGGTTCATCTAGGACCAGAAAATCAGGGGAGGCAGAGGTGCTGAGAGTGAGGCACTGAGTTTAGAAGAGCATAATTTGTTCCTATTGAAAAGATACTTTATGCTTTAAGATACTTTATGCTTCAGGTTGGGCCCAGAAAGATCATATTGAAATGCAAACCAATTAAGCTAGTAGTAATTTTTGCTTTAAATTAGAGCACTAGAGGATAAAAACAAGAGTTTATAACTCTCTTCTGAATGTGCTGTCCATGCGAATGATGTATTTTGCTCCCAAACTTGCTAATTACTGGCTGTATGGCCCTCAGCACACCTACAGTAAATTCTGTTAGTGCCTCAATTACTCTACTGTGTCACAATCTGGGAAGAATTTGAAGGCCTTTTCATCTGTGTCTCCCTAACATCCTTAATTAATTCCACAGTACCAGAATTCGAGAGAAATAAATAAGTTGGCCTGGATTAAGGGGAAAAAATGAAAGTCAGGAATTAAGGTGCTTTTCAGGAGAAAGCCATTTAAATCATATTTTAAATGAAGCTAAAGTCTAAAACAAATAACCCTTGACCATCATTAGTGTGCTTCTCAAGGATCAAGGTAACAGAGTTCTCACTTTACCATGAAAAGATTTCTTAGCAACATAGGCACCCAATTATAATAATCATGTCCTTCCTTTTCTTTAGTTTCTCATGAAATCTCTTAGAAGATCTTGGTCCATTTGGTTAGCAATCTTTTGATTCAAAATTGCAAAGAGTAGCTTTCTGCTCAGAGGTGTGACATTTTGTTATCTACGTGCAGAAAAGAAAATCTCTCTCCAGTTTCCTCTAAAAGTGAATGTAAACTATCTCCAGAAAGCATTCACAGACTCTAGACTTTCCTTTTATTTTGTATGCTTTTAACACATACAGATTTACAGCATCATTCTTGTGATACATCATTGTGTAATTCATTCTATGCCTTTTCATTGATGCTTCTATCTCCTTCTCAAAATGTTTTGTAAACTCCTCAAAAATAATATGACTGTTTCCTACTTCTTCTAATTCCATCCCAGGTCCAGCGTCCTAGTCAGTACTCCAACAAATACAGTGTAGTTTTCTTATTTGAAAAAACAAAGTTTCTATCAAATACAATGTGACTTATTTTCTGACCGTTCTAATGTTGCTTGCTCGCTGCTGCATATTTCATCACAACTTCCTATTTTATTTTCTTTGTGGACTTTGTGATATGCTGGTAAATATTCAACAACTGGCTTTTCAGAGGAAAAATAAAACTTTCATATGTAGTATTTGCCAGTACCCATCGTGTAAATACTCCCACCATAGCCAATCCGAAGATAACAACGTGATGTCACTAAAAGTGATGCTGGGGCAAGATGCACATAGTTGGGTCTCACATAACAGTGTGAACAGCTTTGGTATATCACTGTTGGAGGTTCTTACCACTACCTAAGATTACCTGATTTATTATTTGTGTTTTGTCTGTCTCCCTTCATAAAAACTAAGCTCTATAGAAAAGGCGCTCCCTCCATGTTTACCACTGAACATAGAACCTTGCCTGGCATACAGCAGGTGCACCACAAATACTTGTTGGAAAAGATATAATTGCAGACTTAAAATTGATTATACTAAAATTTTTAAGATGCAATGGTAATAAAAATATTTAATGTAAAAACCATTAAAGTTTGTGGGTTTTAAAAGTTCAGAAATATCTCCTGAGTAGACGTGAGAAAGAGATGAGCCCAGTACCACTTTTAAAAATCATTTTATCTTGCCTCTCTTGTTTTTATCAGGCTTCCCCAATGGTGTAAATATGAGGTTGGAGTGCATAAAGAAAAAGAAGAAAATCATAAGCTTTGAATTTAAAATTTCATTCTATAAAGATCAATCATAACTTCCAACTGTGAAAATAGAAAAGTGTTCATTTCAAAGTGAAACAAAAACATCATTTTACATTCTATTAGTTAAATCAGCATAAATAAAACACTCTAGTACCAGAAAGACTTTGCACTTATTATATGTGCAATTGCCTATGGCAGAACTATAGCAAACGTTAATTATTATACTTACTGTTTGCATGATAACTGGTAATGTAAAAAAAATGCAAATAAGACCCTTCAAGTGAGGATTCATTATTCAGATTTCAGATTTCTTTCTCTCAAATTTTTCAGAAATTTATTTTGAAAGTAATAAAAAATAATTAAAATTGACATTTTATGTTTTTAGTTCATCTTCAATTTTCTAACATCCAACTCTGAATTGGTAAGTCTTCATTTCATTCTGATGTTAGTAATTTTGAACGTAGATGCTACGACACAATGTTTTCTTCTTAGCCTAGATCGTCTTTGTCCATTTCATTGTGTGATGTGTGCAGAGCAATTCATAAAAGGTTCATTACATTTCTGTTAATTACATTATCTTTCACAGCCTGACTCTCAATGGCCCTCTTTAGGCTTGTTTTTCCTGTGCTCCAAATTGAACTGCCTATTTTGCCCAAACACCCACCGTGTCTGCTCTCCCATCCCTGGCTTTGCTCTCCTGCTTCTCAGAATGCCCTTTTCCCTTATCTCTGTCTTTTGTAATCCTGGCATTATTCTAGACTCAATTCAGTCCTCAAATTATTCATTCTTTGCACAACACTTAGTCACTAAATGATCTCTTTCTTGTTTGTCAGTTTGTTTATTGTCTTTCTCTCTCGTGTGGACTATAAGCCAAGTAAGAACAGGGCTTTTTCTTGTTCACGGCAATATTCTAGTGCCTAGAACAGCGTCTGGGATACAGGAAGCACAGTATTTGTTGAATGAACAGACAAATAATTAATTACCAAAACAAGTCTAAGATACTCAGATATTTTACCATGGATGTGTTTGTCACTAGGTTTAAAAAAAAATCTAAGAATAAAATTAACATAGTAAGAGTCTCTATGATTATTCAGAAAACCCACATTTATATTTCAAAATATAGGGTGGAACTTCATTTTAATCTAGTGCTATTTTGACAAAGCTGTGAGAATTAAAGAAGATAACGTGATACCTTGAATCAGTCAAAAATAATTTCTAACACCCAAGGCTGAAAGAATTCCAGTTTGAAGGTGCTATTTTCCTCATATGAAACTACTTATTATACTCCACTTATAATCTAACTAAACACATTTTCTTGGTATGCTAATGCTTTATGCAAACCTTCTCTTGATTTTTGTCATATAATTCACAAAGATTCAATTAAGTGAAACAGACCTTAACGTAATTTCAAATGAAATTTTTAAGAAGAACAGATTTTACATTCAAAGTAGGTAGTCATTTTAATATTAACCTGTATTTATATAAAATGGACCCAGTATCATAGTTTTTTTTCTCCTTTGACCTAAGTTTCTTCCATGCGTTTCTCTCTTCAAGTATATCTCAAGCATAAAAAAAGATAAAGGATATATATATGGAACTCTGAAATAAAAGGCCTGAAATCACTAAATCTTGAGTAACACAAAATGAGGTATGTCTCTTAGGTGAAAGTACAGGGGCTCTTGAATACAGGTGCTACTATTTTTAAGCCAGTTGCTTAAACTTTTTGAGTCTCAATTTACATATCTATAAAATGGGTAACAAGAGAAACCAATCTAGCACCAAGCCTAGCACATATAAATTGCTCTGTAAGTATTTACTGAATTAATGAATTCTTTTAAAAACAAAGGTACCAAGACTAAATTACTATATATCATTTAATGAAAAATTGCATTGGTTGTGTAACCAAATAGCTACAAGTATAATAACAGGTGTTTTTAACAATTCTCTGACTGATACACGATCAGCAAAGCAACATACATATGAATAGATCAAGTATATTGACCTTGATGAAACATTGTGGTTGGTACAGGAGTTCAGGCTGTTATTCAAGAGACATAAGGATAGTCATATCTACCAAAGCAAAAGAAGAGATTAAGGACATTTTCTTATGTTTTTGCATGTCTCAAGTAGAAATTCACAAATGTATTTGGAGAGACAGTAGTTTGTTATTCATACTTCATTTTAAAAAATTGAACAGGTAATGTATTATTACTCCTTTTCTACACCTGTACAGACATAAGCTAAAGACATGGAACTTACCACTACTAGAAATAATAACTGATGAATATGTAGTGATTTGTGCTTTCTCTCTCAATCCTTACAAAAACCCTACAACACAAAGGGAGTTAACACAGAGGGAGAATGGTAGAGTAGATTTTCGATTAGGGAGCTCAAAGCGTAAGTCCAGAAACATGCTATTAAATGTTTGGTGCTGGGGATACACCAGGAGACAAAAAGACAAAAACCGTACCTTCACGGACCTCACTACCTGGGATTTGTGTTGAAATCATGGCTTTTAGATTTATGAATCAAATCACTCCAATACATATTCATAACAAAGTATGTTGTTAAGAACTACATTAGTGGCCAAGAGATTTGTATGTTCTTTTTATCCTCAAATACTGAATGAGGTTTGATAGTTTGTGCAAAACCTTGGCACATACTCTGCTGTTATTGTGCACAATTCAACTTCTCCCTGTTGTTTAATTTAGGGGATGTGAATAACTATAATCAACCAGAATTGTGGCTTCTTCCTCACTCCCACAGCACTTCCTTTCTACGGTGCTTAGAGCACTTACCGCTCTTAGTCTTGCTCAGACCTTGCTCATATTCTCATGGCCTGTTCATTATTTGTCTCCCAACTTGTACTGAGCACTATCCAGAAAAAAGGCCATGCTACATTTATCTTTGGATGGGATGTGTGTTTGTAATATGAATACACCTGTATTCATATAAAAGCACATGCATGTGCATGATCTCATCAGACCCTCACAAAACTCGGTAAGATTGCAGGGTAGAATTAGTTCTCATATTTTAAAGACACTCAATGAGATTGAAAATTATGAATGCCCTTGTTTGACAGATGAAGAAACTGGGGAATTGGTGAGAGAATGATTTCTGAAGAGCACATAACTAAGACTTGAATTTCAAGATCGGGGTTCTTTCTAAAACACTAAATGAAAATATTGAGTTATTATTTTAGGTATGTCTTTATGGTCTGTTAGGGTGTTCGGCCAGTCATTTTTGACTTTCTCAAATCATTGGTGAAATCTTTGTTTGTTTTTTCAAATGTAAACCATGAGATGGAAAAGATCTTCAGAAAGCATCCATATGGTAACCAGAAGACAATGACATAGATTATATGCAAATATATTTCTGTAAAACAGTGTTTGTCTTTAAGAGTATATTGCTAGCCAAAATAATTCTGCTCTGTCATAGGGAAGGGGAAGGGGATGGAGGAAGCTTTGTCATTTCCAGTCCCAAACCCAAAGTCATCATCATTCTGCTTATATAAGATTTCTATATGCTTCTTAATTTCCTGATCAAGAAATGAGAGTCCCTACAGTGGCAAGATAGTGAAAGCAGTCTGTTGGGGTGAAGGGGTCTCAGCCAATATCTGAAGAGTCTAGTAACTGCACCTTGATCAACTGACTCTGAAGTCACCCTTTTAATATCATCTCAGCAGATTCAGGCTACTGGAAAGCAGGGACTGTACTGAATCCCTTAAGTCAGGCAGTGGCCTCCTTCAATTTCTGTCACATATGTTAATCAGTAAGTGGCAACTCTGAGTAACCACTGACTGTATCTATCAACCTGGAAAAGTGCTAGGGACATGTTTTTCAAACTTGGTGATAGAAACTTCTCTTTATGTTTGTTTGTTTATTTATTTATTTATTTATTTATTTATTCTTTTTCTCTTTGTGATTTTTAATTTAAAGCCATTTTTAAGAAGTTTGCTTTTAAGGAAAGTTATTTTCTAGGCAATATACCCAAGTTCTTACTGGAGACCTAGTGATGGAACCTTGGCCTTAAGTCAGTTATCTTGTGTACAGTTACAAGTCAACATTCCAAAATAAACTTTAACAGAAATTAACAGCAACTGCAATTAAATCCCAACATTTCTGAACTAGAAGCATTTTCTCTCTAGGGGATGGGATTACTGGGTTGACCAATACCCTTTATCTGAAAAGAAAAAAAAAACCATCTCTTCATCTCTCGCTCCCGTATCCCCTTTTATTTGTCTCCCTTCCCCCAGACATACGTATACTCTGACCATCTTATTTGAGTGGAAAGTTGAAAGAAAGCAACACACCAGCTATACCCATCCAGCGCTCCTTGGGGTGGAATAGCAAAGTTCTAGGGCAGAGCCTTCCTTCCCAGAGCCGGCGGTGCATTCGCTCTCGGATACCTGCTCAGCTTCACGCCGCATCTGAAGGTCTGCCCGCCGCGGAACAGTTGCGTCTCCATCTGGCTGCCAACCCACCCAAGCTTTCTTCTCCTCCACCACCACCACCTTCCCTCCTTCCCCCCACCTCCCCCTCCTTTCCGTCTTCCCTTTCCACCCCCGCCCCCAATCTCCTCCTCTTTTTCTCACTACAAGCGGTTGCTGATGCTGAAGCCGAGCGTCACTTCGGCTCCCACGGCAGACATGGCGACATTGACAGTGGTCCAGCCGCTCACTCTGGACAGAGGTAAGGGAGCGGCTCGCCCTCCAGGCCACTGCGTCCCCTCTGCCTCCCCCTCTGCCCCGGCCAACTCCCACCGGGGCCGCCGTACGCGCTCGGGCAGGGGGAGCAGGGCAACGAGGACGAGCGAAGACGCCTTTCGCGCCGAGAGCAGGATACTTTCTTCCCCTTTCTCTGCCCACCACGTCCCCGCTGCCCCTTCGCGCTGTACTCGCCCGGCCCAGGGGTGCCTGCGCCGGGCTCCGGCGCCCCCGCCGCCACTCCCAGCCCCTCGCAGGATCGCCTCCCGGCCGCCGGCTTTGTTGGAGCGGAGGCGCGGGGACCGCTAGGCGCCCTCCCGGGGCTCGGGG